ATCAAACTGGTCTCCCAAAAGAATGGTCCTAACAATCTAACCTTTCACTCACAAACCTGGGATCTCACATGCCAGATCCAGGCCCACTAGCCTTTGCAATCTAGCTTCAAAGTTGACTGCCTCCTCCTTTCTTCACACACATTAAGAATCAGCAAATCTAGGGTGTTCTCCTGCCTCTCACAGTCCAGTGCCCTCTGTTCATATTATCTCTTCTGCCAGGAAGGTCGTCCCTTTTTATATCTTCCTTGTTCTTCAGAATAAAACTTAGCATTTCCTCTTCCCTAAGGCTTCCCTGGATCTCTAAGGTAGGAATTAGTTTCTACAATTCCTAATGGTTGGATCTGAATGCTTTGATGATGTCCTCCCACTTTCTGTCCTGCATTAAAAGGCTGTCCATGACCTTCATTGTACATAACATACTCTTTTAATGAATTGGGTTTATGCATCAGCTTCTCATGACCGTAACAACATACCTGAAACAGGCTACTTCATAAAGAAAAGATACTGATTTTGGCTCACGGTTTTGAAGGTAGGAGGTCCAAAGAGCATGATCGATGCTGTGGTGAGGACTCCTGGAATTGCATCCCATAACAGTGGGGTGTACATGTCTATCTATATCTGTTCAGTCTTCAAACCACCAGGATTGAATCATGGGGGCTCCACTCCAATAACTTAATCCAATCTAAACACTTTCCAGTGTCCTTACCTTTAAACACCATAATTAGATTAAGTTTATATCCTCCTAGTTCTATTAATATAAGACTTTAGAGACTAAACTCCTCTATTTTAGAGAGACAGATATTCAAGCCATAGCATCTGTGTCTTCAAAAATTAAGTTATCAGGGCCAGCATAGTGGCATTCAAGTTAAACCACTGCCTGCAATGCTGGCGTCCCATATGGGCTTCAATTCAAGTCCTGACTACTCCACTTCCCATCCAGCTCCCTGCTAATATGCCTGGGAAAGCAGCAGAAGATGGCTCAAGTGGTTGGATTCTGTGCCCACATGGAAGATACAGATGAATCTCCTGGATCCTGACTTAAGCCCTGCCTACCCCTGGCTGTTGCAGCCATTTGGGGAGTGAACCAGCACATGGAAGATCTTTCTCTCGCTCTTTTTCTGTATCTCTCCTTCTCTGTAACTCTGCCTTTCAAATAAATATTTTTTTAAAAAAATTAAGTCATCAAAGTAAAAACCAAATTAATAATGTAAATAGGCCTGAAGCTTAATACCAGACTTTGTGAGTTTGGATCCTGGCTCAGTCACTTCACTGTGATTCCTCACTGTGCCTCAGTTTATCCTCTGTAAAATGAGGATAATGGTAATACCTGACTACTAAGGTTGTCATGAAGCAAAAGGAATAACTGTCCATAAGGTACTCTTAGGAGCAGTCAGACATACAAGACTCAGTGTTTGTGGTGATAGATGTTTACAAAACAGAACACTTGGATGTGAGGCAGAGTGCATGAGGTGGCTTTTATTTTGACAGAAATGGCCTCTCATTCAAGTTCCTCATCAATCAACCAGATCCCTTGGGCCAATGCTTTCAATGTAAGCTATGGAGTCATGTGGAATGGAAATGACAGCACAATTTTCCACAGCCTTCAGAGCAGTTCTCACGAGAGGCTGATGTGCCTCAGCATTAGTTCTGCTTCTGAACACCCTGACTCAAGTCCCTGACCCAGTCTATTGCTTGCTGCAGAACCACTAGCTACAAGGACACAGTGGAGTTGTCCCTCATCTACTTCATGGTCCTCCTTTCTTCTCCCATCACCCACTGCCAATTTGAAACTAATGTAATGTGTGATAATCAAATTGGTAGAATCCCATTTTTGCTTTTGCTGTATTCTTTGGCCTTCCATTTATCAGCTTTATTGCTGGATTGGTTTTCGTTGCCTAAGTAGAAACTATCAAAAATAATTATACAGATGTTGAATGGGTGTATGGCAGAGCATGTGAGACGCCACTTGGGATGCCTGTATCCCATGTCAGAGTACCTTGGTTCAAGTCCCCGCTCTGCTCCCAATTCCAGCTTCCTGCAAATGTGCACCATGGGAGACAGCACATGATGGTACTTTGGTCCTTCACATCCACACGGGAAATGCAGATTTAGTTACAGTCTCTTGGCTTTGACCTGGTCCAGCACTAGCTGTTATAGGCACTTGAGGAATAGAACAGTAGATGGAAGATTTCTCTTTCACTCTGTATCTGTCTCTGCCTCATTCTCTGGCTATCTTCCTTTCAAAATAAATTAAAATAAATTTAAAAATTTTTAAATAAGGATTAAACAAATATATGTTCATGAGCAGAGCTAGATTCAAAGCCCCAGAGACAATATGCACTTGTTATTAACATATATACAGTGCAAAAAACTATAGACATCACTTGAGATATAACGAGTTCATCACTAGACTAAGAATTTGGTCACACTAGCTCCTTTCCTGGGTTTGGCAAAATGTCATATTTTTCTCAATGTCATAATATGAAATTAACACTGAGGAGTCTGTGAGACCTTCAGTATGACCCCTTAACTCTCTTAGTCCCCAGTATCCAGAAGGTGGAGTTCATGATCTTGACCTTGTTGGTGAATTGGTTTAATAGGTAGCATTTATAGAGCACTGTAGTGAATGATTTCCCTTACTCCTTGAAATAGTCCCATGAGAGAGGGCCTACTGTTATCACCAGTTTTACAGGCCCATAACAGTTTAGGTAACTTTAAACTATCACAGATTAACCAACTTCAGAATTTGCATTATACCCAGAGTCTCAGAGGTTTAGAAAGAAGGTATTGAGGGTACCTAATAAGATGCTGTATCAGTTGTTCATTGCCACAGTAATACTATGTGACAAACAACCATAAAACTTCAATAAATAGGCATTTTTGTCCATGAGTCTGTAGATTAGTTGGGAGATTTTACTGATCTAAGCTTTGTCATGTATCTACTGGAGAGTCAGATGGAATCTAACTGGTCTGGATGGCTTTGGCTTGGATACCAGGCTCTGTTTCACATGGGCTCTCATCCACCTGCAGGCTGGCTCAGGTTTATTTTCATGGCATAGGCAGGGTCTAAGAGCAAGAATAAAAAGTAAGACCCCTTGAGAACTGAATCAGCATCATCACTGCCTTCTGTTAGCCAAAGCAAGTCACAAGAACATCCTGGATTCAAGAACTGGAAAAACAGATTTCACTTCTTGATGAGCAAATTCCCATTGCAAAGAGTATGAGTTCAAGAGGGTGTTAACAGTCGGGGCCACAAGTGCAGTAAATCTATACTTGTAGTCAATACACTTCAACTGTTATTATCTCTAGTCTATAGATACTCACATAATACAAAAGAGTAAGCACTAGGACCTTGTCAGAGATACAGGTCAAATCCTAGAGATGGCATGTGGTACAGCAATTAAGATACCATTTGCACCTGCATCCCATATCTGAATGCCTGGTCCAAGTCTCAGCTCTGTACCTGATTTCATGTTCCTGCTGATACATACCCTAGGAGACAGCAGGTCATGGCTCAAATATTTGGGTCCCTACCACCCACATAGGAGACCTGGTTTGAGTTCCTGGCTCTTGGCCCAGCTCAGTTATTGTGAGCATTTGGGAAGTAAACAGCAAGTAGGAGGTGAGTCAGCCTCTCACCCTCTCCCTCTCCCTCTCCCTCTCCCTCTCCCTCTCCTTCTCCCTCTCTGAATAAGTTAAATAATTTTAAAAGAAAGCTCAAGTCCTTAAGAATTTTAAGGAGGATAAAAGATTGACACCATATTTTCTACACTTCATTTTCTGTGATTCTATAGCTTACTCACCTAAGAACTCTATTATGCTATATATGTGCTACAATACAAGAACTTGCACAAAATACAACATGAAATTATATGGAGTGAAGGTTCAACAAGAGGAGTGTAAGGTTGGTCTTTACTTACAACTCTGTATAAGAAATTTTCAAGAGTGCCATATATGGGGCTTCCACCCCTTTTTTATGAGTTCAGAGCTGTGTTTTGCTTGTCCAGAAATAGCCCCTCCTTCTGAAGATGAGCAGGAGATAGCAGGTGCAAGAAAAATCAATTAGATGAAATAACTAGGTGTGTAAAATGGAAGAAATGATGGAGAAAATGTTTGAATAGTTTTCAAGTTGACCCAGGCTAAGCCTGAGATGTTTAAGCATTCTTTGTTAATGAAAACACCTTGAGAGGAATGGGCTCTACAAAGCAAAAGATGTCCAATGTGTTCACCACCTGTGGATCAAGTGGTGAGAAGCACCATGTATGTAATCTTCCTGACCCCATGTGTTGTAGGAGGACATCGGCACAAGCACCCCTAGGAGCTTGCTAGAGATGCAGACCCCCAGCCCCACTGTGGATCCTGACAAGTCAGAATCAGCATTTAGCAAGGTCCTAAGTGATTCCCGTGGACACTAAAGTTTGAGAAGCACTACTGTACAGATGTCAGGTTGGGTCTTGGAGCCAAAACCCCCCCACATTACTCATTGGCAAGTCAGTTCTCTGGCTCTGGTTTCTTTATCTACACTATAACACTATCTGTCTACATCATGGATTTGTCACGGAGATGAGTAAGTGAGATAACATCACTGCAGATAGATACGTATGAGGTAAGAGTGCTTGATCTGATGTCCACTCTGAGCAACACTGATATGGAAAGTGGCAACTTGCCTGCGACCCCCTAAGCATTCACCATGGGATGATTTTTAATAAATATCCATTTCCATTGGGTTATCCTCCCACATATACATCAAGGATCTTCAGTCTTGGCTGTCTAGGAAAATCAATTAGGAAAGTTTTTCTAACAGTGATCCATTGGCTCTACCTCCAGAGATTTGGAATACTTGGTATCAGTGTGTCCCCAACATTGCTATTTATTAAAAGCTCTGAAAGCAGTTTCAGGGAGCAGCCAAGATGAACATCCCTAACTCCAGAGACCCCATGATAGACTGTGTCTGAGAAAGCTGCCATCAGCCTCTGTCTTCTGTCTCCTCCCTGCCACAGTGCTCCACCACCTGTGGCCTGGGGGCCTACTGGAGAAGCGTGGAGTGCAGCACCCGGATGGATGATGACTGTGCAGCCCTTCCTAAGCCTGACCCTGCCAAGAGATGCCACCTCCGTCCATGTGCTGGCTGGAGAGTGGGAAATTGGAGCAAGGTAATTCACTAAGTTTGGCAGCATCTGGGAGTGGGGAGGCAAAATCTTAACTAAGCACTGGTAATACTTAATTTCTCTTCTCCCTTCTTACCTTCTACCTGTTTTCTTTTATAAAGTCATGGATGAGTATTTCACAGGCCTTCCCATGGGCCTACTTGAAGCTATACATAAGTCTTAAAAGAAGTACAGAATTCTTATTAACTGGTATGCTTTTACCTAAATATCCCTTCTTTTATAAGATAAACTGGAACAAAAGGTTAAACGTGTGTAAATAATTGCTTGTCCAGCATGTAACATTTTTTCTAAATTACTTAAAATTATCAGTATAATGAATAATGATATATAATCATCATACATAATTAAATCACAGTTCAGTAGCACTTTACAAAGCAGAGGCATGGTTTAATCTGCCAGACCCAAAATGCAAAGAAAGCTGAGATATAAAGAATAATTTATTCTTTAAATGGATCTTCCCTGATGGGTTACTCACTTTGTTCTTCTGTCTACATCATCCTTGTGAGAAGGCTGTGGTAGGTGTTACATGAGCTACCTTAGGTGCTTTGATAACCAGGCCCAATCCATCTCTCATCTTGGGCTGAGACTGAGCCATCCCAGGTTGGGTATACTGGAGCTAGAAGACACTTTTCATTTCTGGGTTGAGGGCCAGTAGTCAGGTAGGAGGAGCAGGGGTGTGAAATTTGCATACACTTTTGGTTCATTGATCACATGAATCCTAGGAAGCCCAGTGGGCTCTGTCCCCAGCTCCCTGGGACAGCTGAGACACAGGATAAGGGAAGAGGAAGATCAGTTCAGGAGGTTTCTAGAGGCTGGCATCCCCTCCAGATGTTAGTTCTGTCATCTAGTGGAGAGTTTATGTCCCCAGATAAACATGATCACCAGGAATCTCCTTGGACATCTCAGGCTTTCCTGGCAGATTTACCTGTACTACCCTAGCCTGGAATGTCATTTATCTGCTTTAGGACTCTTTTCCCCACAAAATAAGGCTATGACATTGCAGAAGAAAGAGGAAGGCAGTCTATTCCTTGAGAAAATTAACACATATGATTTGACACCTGCCAATCTCCCTTTCTTTGTCTCTGTGTCCCTTATAAGAATAAATACTCATTCCTTTCTCTCTTTTTTTTAAAATTTTGTTTAAGGAATACAACTTCATGCATTTAATATATATAGATTTGGGAACATGATGATTCTCCCAACCACCACCTTCCTCCCACCCATACTCCCACCTTTCTTTCTCCTCTTTCAGTATTTCCCATTATTATTTTTTACAATTACAATGATCAATTTTCAGTTAATTTTTAAACTCATAATATTAACCCTACACTAAGTAGAGAGGTCACTGTTAGTATGAAGAAAAAATGAAGAAAAGAACAAAAACCAACCAAACAAAAAATATTGTTCCCCAACAGAGAAAGCAATAGCTGTTCAAAATCATCACATCTTAAATTGTCAGTTTGGTTCCTATAGATTACATTTTAGGTACTCTATCAGTTACTATGAATCAGAGAAACTATATGATATTTGTCTTTTTGTGACTGGCTTATTTCATTAAGTATAGTGCTTTCCAGTTGCATCCATTTTGTTGCAAATGACAGGACTTCTTTTTTTTTTACTGCTGTGTAGTATTCCTTATTGTATATAAACCATAATTTCTTTATTCAGTCTTCAGTTGGCAGACATCTGTGTTGATTCCATATCATAACTATTGTAAATTGAGCTAAAATGAACATTGAGCTAAAGGAACATAACTCTTTCATATGCTGATTTCATTTCCTTTGGATAAATTCCCAGGAGTGGGATGGCTGGATCATAAGGTAGGTCTATATTCAGCTTTCTAAGATAACTCCATACTGTCTTATTCAATGGCTATATCAATTTACATCCCCCAACAACAGTGGATTAAGGTACCCTTCTCCCCACATCCTTGCCAGCATTTGTTGTTTGTTGATTTCTGTATGAAAGCCATTCTAGAGGGAGGAGCCAAGATGGCAGTATAGCAACAAGACGTTCTGAGCCTCCGGGGGTGGGGATAGATAGTTAATAAGGAAAGGGGATACAAGCTGGCTACAGAGCCACAAGAAACCCGGGAGTCCAGCAGAGGCTGAGCAGGACCACACAAAGGGGGCAAAGAGTCACTGAGACACATCAGAGGTGCGGCAGAGAAAACAAATGGGGCAACTAATGCCATGCCCTTCCCCCTCCCTGGGCAGACCAGGAACTGTATGACAGTGAGAAGTTCTAAACATTGAACCCCTAGCTTGTTTCCCCAAGTAGGCGGGGCTTAGCACACCAGAGCTCTCCTATTTGCCCCCACTACCATCCAGAAGCAAGCAGGACTTCCAGAGGTGGGCTGCATATTTCCACTGGCAGTGCGCAGACATGTAGCAGCTCATAGCAGAGGGAAATCTCGCCACAAGCACCAAGACACATATTAAAGATAAAAGGAATTGGAAATGCCAGAGGGACCAGCGAGGCCAGGTCTGCGGCCCAGGGCAGACATGGAGTGGAGTGCACCTGTTCCATCCCAACCTTGGGAAATGCCAAAAAAAACAAGGGGGAAAATTTTAGTAAAACTAAGGAAGATAATATTAGCCCCAGAATAGAAGATTACATCAGCTCTTCAATAATAGAAGCAGAAGAACAAGGGATTATAGATATGCCAGAAACAGAATTCAGAAAATTAATCATCAGATTACTTAGAAGCAATCAGAAACACATTCACAACCTAAATAAAAAGTGTTCCCAAAAAACTGAGATATTGAAGAGAAATTAAATGAAATTCTAGATATGAAGAATTCAATAAAGCAAATAAAAATACAGTGTATAGTTTAAAAAATAGAAAAAATGAGACAGAAGAAAGACTATCAGAACTAGAAGACAAATTTCTGGAAATAACACAGACCAAACACAAGAAGAAGAAATAAGGAAATTAAAAAACATGGTTGGGGGCCAGCACCATGGCTCACTTGGCTAATCCTCCACCTGTAGCACCAGAATCCCATATGGTTCCGGGTTCTAGTCCCGGTTGCTCCTCTTCCAGTCCAGCTCTCTGCTGTAGCCCAGAAAGGGCAGTAGAGGATTGCCCAAGTGCTTGGGCGCCTGCACACGTGTGGGAGACCAGGAGAAAGCACCTGGCTGCTGGCTTCAGATTGGCACAGTGCCAGCCATAGTGGCCATTTTGGGGGGGTGAACCAATGGAAGGAAGGCCTTTCTCTCTGTCTCTCTCTCTCTCTCTCTCACTGTCTAACTCTACCTGTCAAATAAGTAAAATAAAATAAAAAAAAAGACAAAAAACGTGGTTGAAGATCTGCAGGATTCTATCAGAGGATCCAATATATGGATCCTAGTAATTCCAGAAGGCACCAAAACAGAGAAAGAACTAGAAGGACTTCTTAATGAAAATATAACAGAGAACTTCCCCCTTCTGGAGAAAGAAAGAGACATTGAAGTTTGGGAAGTACACAGAACTCCCAATAGACATGACCAGAAAAGATCTTCACCTAGACACATAGTAGCAAATCTCTCCTCAGTAACACATGAAGAAAAGATGCTGAAATGTGCCAGAGAGAAATGCCAAATCACATTCAGAGGAAACCCGATGAAACTCACCCTTCTCATCACAAACCCTACAGGGAAGGAGAGAATGGCGAGACATACTCCAAGTCCTAAGAGGAAAAAAAACTGTCAACCCAGATTGCTATGCCCTACAAAACTCTCACTTATGAATGAAGGAGAAATAAGGATCTTCCACAGCAAATAGAAATTGAAAGAATTTGTAAGTACACACCCAGCCCTAGGAAACATGCTCAAACACAAAAACAGGAACATCACTGGAAAAGTAGATAATTACCCAGCAAAAGAACAAATGAAATCCAAAGTACATAAACAGAACTATTTAAAGAAACATGGCAGGACAAAGTCAGTACTTAACAATACTAACACTGAATGTAAATGGTCTCAACTCCCCAGTTAAAAGACACAGACTGGCTGGATGGATTAAAGAAAACCCATCTATTTGCTGCCTACAAGAAACACATTTTACCAACAAAGATGCTCGCAGACTAAAAGTGAAAGGGTGGAAAAAGATAATCAATGCCAACAGAAACCAAAAAAGAGCTGGTGTGGTCATCCTAATATACTAAATAGACTTTAACACATACACACACACACATATATGTATATATGAACCAAAAGACTCCACTAGGAGACTACTAGAACTCATAAAAGAGTTTAATAAAATAGCAGGATATAAAATCAACACACAAAAAAACAACAGCCTTTGTATACACAGACAATGCCTCCTTTCACGCAGTCACAGTGTTTTCTCAGTCTCAGCCCCCAGGGCCCTCAAGGTCAAGGAGTGCCAGTGGGGCCACTCCATTCCACTAGCCCATCCTGTCTGCAAGGAGACTGAGGTGTTCTCAGAGCCACACTGTCCATGTGTGTTCCAGCCTGCTGGATCAAGTCTGGTCCTCCCAACCAGATTCAATGTCAGTGGGGTATGTGGGTTTTTCTGCCTTGTGAGAGCTCTGGTTCACAGGCGTTCAAAATACTCACCAGCTGCAGCTCTGCTTGCTTCACATTTGTGCTGGGTACATAGGAGTGTCCTGCAGGTGGCACTTCCCTTTGGTAGGGATCACTACCCCTCCCCTCCCATTGCTGAGTGTGTGCAGCTGGCACAGTGGGGACCATCTCCCTTGGTTTCACTTGAATTTCTGTGGTTGCCCCTGCTGACTGGGGTATAGGGTGATCCGAATAATTGCTGAATGTGCACACAGGATCTGGGGACTGCTAACTGTCTGTGTCCAGAAATGGAACCAGCTCTCCCACCACTGGCTGCAGGTCTCTGATGTAGCAGGGAGAGGGGGAAGGAGATAGACAGGCTGCTTTTCTCTTTTCTTTTCCTTTACCTTTGGGTGAGCAGTCACCCTGCTGTCCTGAGGGGTCCAGGCTGGACTCAGAAAGGTACAGTTCACTAA